CAGAACAACAGGATCCAAAGGATATTTATGAGACTACACCTATCCTGTTCCACACAGCACATACTCCAAAGTGACGTGTTTGTTATCTTCAATACTTAGTAAATCATGTTGCCCAACAGCCATGGGAGTTACCTGCTTACCTATATATATATATATATATATACACCAGTTTTTATTACTACTGTGGTCATGAAATATTTTCAGTGCTAACTTGGTCATGTAAACCATGCCTTTTCAGGAGTTATTGTCTATCTATGACTGTAGAGAGACAGGCAGAACGTGAGAATCAAAAACAAAAATTAGTTTTGGACATTAAAAAAAAAAATCAATCTGCAACACATTAATGGTAAAATACGGCAAAAAGTAATGAGTTTTATAAAAAGTAATGAAAGCTAAAGGTAAACTTGAGACAGCAAAGCAGAACCAACTTTAAAGCACAAACAAAATAATCACATAAAAGATAATCAGGTATACAGTCCTGAGTCAAAAATGTAAGGAAAAACAGATCTATGGCAAGGACAAGTTGTTGCTAGCTCAAGAGAAAAAGGGATGCTTTAATCAATTTTGTATGAGGATAAAGATAAATCCCTAAAAGCAAAATAGAGGATGTGTATCTTAAGGATGCATCCCTACTTCAAGCAGAAATGGAAGAGGGAATTTGTGTGTAGCTCCACTGGAGGACAGATACTATCAATAAAAATAAAACAAGCTGAAAGCAAATTACCCACGGAACTTCATACATACTACTACTAATTTACAAATTTGTTTTAACTCCTACACTAGCAGGCTTTTAAAGAAATAGATATCCTCTGCATTAAGAAGGAAACAAAGATGACTTCCACCTAAAAGAGAAAAGATGACTGCACTCATCAAAGACACTTGGCTACTGGCACAAGACTCAAGATCAGCAGGGATTTACTATCATTAAACAAATTGCAAATAGCAAGAAAAAAATCCCTTGATCTCCTGCATAGAACAAAACCCCAAACTTAAGTATCTTATTATTTCCTGATGCATTAAAAAAGGTTTTAATCAAACGGAATAAGAATACTTGTTTTAGAAAAATGAAATTTTGCAGAGTAAGATGAAAACTTGCTTTTCTTCTCTTGTACTGGAAACTTAGAACTTCTGAACTAAGCAGGAGCATCCTGCTACTGCTGCTGTTTGCCCTGTGAACCCTCTGATCGTGCATTTAGGTAAAACCCATTTACCAAAGGCTAACTTCTAACATACACATGATTTTAATACAGGAAGGGATAAATAGGATGACTAATCAAGTGAACGCTTAGAAGAGAGACATGGAGCAATGGAAAGATAAACACATATGGAAGATAAACAACTCATTTTACACAAAGATCTTTTATAAAGCACTTTTATCCTTCATAAAATACTTGTGAGGTACTACTTACCTCCAGCTAGGACCTGACACGTGTCTAACAGTTATGCATCATGATAAAGATGATACAAAGAGGTGGAGGTTCCTTTTCTCTTTATTTATGAGGCAGGTACGCCCACAGCTCCCAGACTTCTAGACAGAGGTGTCCAGATACGATAACCTTTGTGGCAGGTATTTTAAAGTTCAGTTTGGGCAGAATGAAAAATTATGCCCTTCTTACTAGCTGTTCCATTACTAAAATATGAAGGGCTTATCTGCCACCTGCACTGAAAATGTGAAATGAATACAAGGCATACTGTACCATTTGAATCATAGCATACTTGAGGTTGGAAGGGACCTCTGGAGATTGTTGAGTCCAACGCCTCTGCTCAAAGCAGGGTCACCTACAGCAAGTTGCTCAGGATTGTGTCCAGTCAGGTTTTGTGCATCTCCAAAGATGTGGAATCCACAGTAGTTCAGGGCAGCCTGCTCCAGCATTCAATCATGCTTACAGTAAAAGAGATTTATGTTTAAATGGAATTTCCTGTATTTCAGTCTATGCCCATTGACTCCTGTCCTTCCACTGCGCACCACCAAGAAGAGAGTCTGACTCCATCCTCACTCCTTCCTGTCAGGTGTTTATACACATTACTGAAATCCCCCCCCAGCCTTCTCTTCTCACGGATAAATATCCCAGCTCTCTCAGCCTCTCCTTGTTTGACAGATGCTGCCATCACCTCTAATTGCTAAATTGTACACAGGACAGGGAAAAATTGTCAGTGATATGGACTCCAGTCCTGTATTACACAGCACAGAAGTTCATCAGCTGGAAAGCCTGAGACTAGTCACATTCCTTGCATATGAAATACTACTACTAAATGACAAGGCATAAAAAAACCCCTTGTGCATGTACACATACACACGTCACTACATAGAAAGATAAAAAGTAGATATGACTCACCTTGTAATAATTGTTGCATTTATTTTTTTAAAGCTGTAACAACTTCAACCTTGTACAAATTCAGTATATTTTGGGTATCTGGGAAATTGTCACTGAAAAAGAACTTTAAGCCACTAAGAATGTTTTTATATAAGATACGCCTTATCAAGTTAGGCTTCATCTGTACTTCACTGATAAAATGACACTCAGTACGACTTCAAATCCTTCAAGCTACTACGACATACCTACTTCTTGATTCAAATTTGGGCTGCAGGGAATTAGCACGACACAATTAAATGCACTAAAAATCTGTTCAAAATAAAAAGAAGACATATTGAATAGTCCTGTCAGTTATCAAGATTTCTGAACATGTTTGCAGCTTACATTCACCAGACTTGAAGCACAACAAATAATGGCATTAAAGCATCTTACCTGCCTGGTTATTAACAGTCATAATCCATAAAGGTTTTGAAGATAATTGTCTATAGTATATTATATACAGAACACCAAGGAGAAAAGAATGCAGGCTGCATTTTCAGGATGGAGTATTACACAATCTGACTTCCTCCTCCAGGACAATAACCTCATCTCTTTAATTTCTCAAAACTCAGATGTCAAAACTAGATACGGTAAACTATTGGTAATCTCAGTGCTGCAATGAGCAGCAAGATCAGTCCTGAAACATAAGATGTAGGAAACAGCTAGTAAGATGTAGCCCAATGATGTAGTCAAAAACGTTTAAATAAAACTGAGGATGCATTACCAAAGGAACACTGAAGGTAAAGTAGGGAGCAGATATTCCTAGAAAGAGGAAGCCACAATAATACTGGAGTGGCTGGAAAGCAAACTCTACAGTAAGCTTACAGAACTTTACCTATCTCAATGAAAACAAAGTTAAGAGATGACTTGGTTAGTATGTATATCTACTTATACTTTGGAAGCGAGGGGTGCAGGTGTCAGTACCACAGACTAGCAAGATGGAAGTCAAAAGTTACACAAATTCAGCTTTTAGATCAGCAATTTCCTGTAAGCTAAATAGCAGATCACACTAGATACGGACTCATCATAAGCAATATTAAGACAAAAAAAAAAAAAAAAAATCAGATTTGTTTTTTTTCCGGTTTGTGAAAAAAGGAAAGTGCATACACGCTATGTAAGTGTTTAAGACAGAGGGTGAAGTGGCTAGACTTCCTTTTCTATATAAAAGGTGGAACAAGCTTAAATTGACCAGCTTGTGGCTCTCAAGTTGTGAAGTCCCACTCCCACATCAGGACATGCTACAATCCATAGTGGAAGTGTGCTTATGGAGGGACAGTAGAGTAATCCAAGCCGACAGCTCTGGGAGAAAGCAAGCTAACAGGGACTGATGAAATCACCTTCAGGATTGGCATCAGATCACCCTGCATGCCAGAAGCAGCTCTATCCCAAAAGAAAGCAGTAGGATCCTCCAAGGGCAATTGTTGTCATCTCTCTGCAAACCTGACCTCCCACTTTGAGGCATGGTACAAGTTTTACAGCTGCAATTCGTACAAAAAATTTATCTGTGTGATTTGTAGGACAGGGGACGGGGGATGGGGGGGTATTTTATTTAGTCAGGCCAGAATACAAGTTCTATGTAACCATTTTTGAGAGACAAGAACACCTCCAAGGGATGGAGGCAAAGAAGGACAGAGAGACTGAGAATTAAAAGAGTTTTAAAAAAAAAAAAGTTTACACCCACATTTCAACTTGATGTGTCTTTTCTATTAAGGAAACATCTAAGACAGAAAAAGAAATCAAGAGGTTTTATATTAAATTTATCTCCTGATTTTTAAAAGTTGAGATCATAATTATTATTTATCCAGACAAGATAGCTGTGCTATAAAAAAAAATAAAAATGCTACAGATTAGCTTCTGAACAACTCACGACCTGCTGAATATAAGCTATGTATTGGAGAACGGTAACATTACTCGCAACATCATCACTGAGGGCTTGGGCTACAAACACCTTATAGCAGACCAAAACCTAGCTTTTCCTGTTAGCAGAATTGCTGCTTTCTGCTCTTAAAAACTAAGATTTTATTTGCACACTTCAAAAATCCATAATAAACTTTTTTTCTGCAACACAAACACCAGTGGGCAATCGTTACCCACAATACACAATAACCTTAAATAAGGGAAATTTACATTTTGCTCAAGACTATCCATCACTATTCAGCTTCTAGAAGGGCTGTAACCCTTATGTAGATTTTAGGTTTGATATATTTCAACCAGTACAGCAAGAAACAGAACAAAGGATAGCATCTAAACCATATGTGATGAAAAGAATATGAAACTACAAACAAATTCAAGAGATTATTTTAAATAAGCACCAAAAAGGATAATACATTGCCCTTAGACGTGAAGCCAAATCCTATTTCTGAGTGTTCCAAAAGCAGTTCTGAATACCTTTTTCTCCACAAGTACTTATTGATTTTGTTTTAACTTAGGTAATCAGCTTAATAAGACTGGTAAAAGATTAAAGCACTCTGAGTCACAGAGTGCACTGGTTTCTGCACAGGCTCCAGTAATGCGAAACATGAACTCTACAACATAAGAATAGGTTTAATCAATTTATTAGTACAGTAACCAAAAAAATTAAAATACCACAAGATAACTAGGTTTTTGGTCAGGTTTTTTCATCTTTCCCTTTAAGAAAAAAATTACCTCTACACAAAAGATCTTAAGATCAAGTCCACATAATTTCATCTTCTCTGGAAAATGCTGAAAAACATTCAAATATGGAATATGGCCTTCAACAACAAACCTGCATAAAAAAAAATGAAGACCAAATCAAAATAGTATTTAGTATGATAAATGCATATGTTTATTCTAAAATTAAGATAGAAATCAACTTCTGATTTGAAATAACATCAGTATTATACTGCCTAGGCAATTCTATCTCAAGTTATATACACCTAAATGCTCCATACAACAAAAAACAGTTCAATCATTTAACAGGCCTTTAAGTGCAAGCCTAGATATGATTGACAAATAATAATGTTATGGCAGTAAGCTTACAATCAGCATGCTTATATGGAGTTTGGTCTGCACATTCCTCAGCTACTGCATTTCTGAAACTGCTTTAAGCGTCCTTTGAATGTTATGGATTTTTTTTTCCCCCCAAATTCTAAAGCTTTAAGTAAATTTTACTTTTAAAACACTTTCTGCTGAAGGAGTTTGAGTCAGGTAACGTGGTAGGGAGGAAAGTCACAGAATCATAAGCAGATACAATTTTGTATACTAATAAATACGAAATAATTTATTATTTGCACCCAAATAATGCATTTTTTGTTAAAAAACTGGCTTAAAAAACTTTTTATATATATTAAAAAAATATATATAAATATATATATTAAAAAGATGGCACTTAACAACAGCTACCAATAAAAAGCCACCACCACACCAAACCCCTGCTCTTATCTAGCATCTTAGCTGGCATTCACACCAGGCAAAGCAAGCACTGAACAAGCATGGATCCTCACAAGGGAACAGACATTACTCTCATTCCAGACTAAAGCATATTAGCGGTCTCCCATAGCACTAAGCTAGAACTGCTTTCCTGTCTCTTCTTCTCCAGAACAATTTTGTTAAAAGAGTACATTAAACTGGAATAAGTTAACATTTCAAACAGAGACGACCCTGTTCTTTAAATAATATTAGAGATTCAAAACCAATTTTCTCTCCTGCCAGCTGTATTATCTGCACCGTATCTCTCTGATCTCGCTACGTAGATTAGTAACTTCTTGGTCTATGAACTCTGCAAGTCCCTCCTGGGTTCCTACAGTGGTTTTAAGGCTGGGCTCTGCATCTGCTCCCAATGCGGGGCAGTACCTAAACACTTCCATCGCAAGCTGGATCCAATCCCACAAGCTGAAACGAGTTCCTCATAAAGCACAGCAAACTACTACTTTCATTTAATGTGTCTGGAGAAAAAAAAAACAAAAAAAAACCCAAAAATAAGGCAGAACAATGTCTTCACAGACAGAGCAGCCACTGTTCAGGAGGATTCACCTCCTTCCTGAGCCTATGGCAAGCTCACCTTCCCTCTCCCAGTCCAGTGTCCTAATCACCACTTGTTGCATGTTATGTAGTGTATATCTATTGAAGTTGACTAAAATTCTACTTAAAGTCTAGTTACTGCAAAGTTTACAGTTACATCCTAATTTTTTTTAAAAACATTCTTAACTTTCAGTTTAATTAAAAAATTGAATTAAAACCAGGATTACAATGAAAAGTGCATTTCTTAATCAAAACTCTCAGTTAGAATTAACCCATCATTTATAATGATTTCTGAAAAATAACAGCAATCTGAAACATCGCATTGCCCAATACTTTTTATTCTGAAGCTCTGTGTATTAGTCTCTTAAATGGAGAGGTAAAAGTCGCTGCACAATCCATTCTAATCAAATTGTGTGATGTACATTTTGCTAACGAAATTTCAGTAGCTTTCCTCAACCAGTGGAAATAGCATTTCCCCACCCCAAGTGGAGATGTGCATTGGTCCACATACTCAGTGAGGTTGTCATCCAAACCCAGCACCAGTTGCTTGTCCTTGCCTTCCTGCCTGATCTGCTGAGCAGCTTGCATGACAGCTCCTTAGTCAAGGTCAGCTGCACTAAATTAAGAACTTAACCTTGAGGGATGGTTTCACAAAACGGATTGAGCCAACCTAAAAGCTCAACATAACTAGTCGTACTTCCCTCCTCCTGGTATGGCTGCGTGCTCCTGTTGCTCATCGCCCTCTTCCACAAATGTAACTCTCAACAACAGCAGAAGACTACCCATTACCCTACAGCAAGAAAGAAGGGCTTGTTTCCCATCATCTAACAAACTGAGGAGGCTCACAGATGGCTCCAGCAAGTGCAAGAGTCGGCAGAGGGAAGGGGATGCATCACACAGGCAGGAGAAGAGAAGGAAGGGAAGCAAGACCTTCCTCTTTCAGCAACAGTGACCCATTACTGGCTCAGCTGATGATAAGCTTTGGCTGACATGTGTTAAGGCACAATCACACGATTAGCTGCCAGATCTGAAGAGCTGGTACCAAGACACTGAGAGCAGCAACCTCCTGAGCCAGCACAGCAACAGCTGGAAGAGGACAAACGATCAAGACCTTCCTTCGGGTGTGGTGTAGTGGTGATTGCAGCCAAACCACCCTAACAGCTTGCTGCCTCCAAAATGGGAAATCCCACCCTCCCTTCAGTCCTCTGCCACACACTCCTCCCTGCTGACAAAAGCACTTGTGTGACTTCTCAGACAGAGGATTACATTGAGAACTAGTCTTTTGTTTTCCAGGGTTTGATTTCAACCAGACAGATTTCCAGACTCAGCTGACAACAGGAACATCATTGCCAACACAAGGCAGAAAGGGACTGCGGTGAAGCAAATTAACCTGCGCTAAAATGTCCGGTGAAACTTTCTTTTGCAAAATTACTTTTCTGCAGATCTACTTCTTTCAACTAATATACCATAAACCAGATGAATACTAGTACCCAGGGCAGGAGAAAGAGCAGGAACGTTTATGCAGGACCACAGCAACAGAAACTCGGATCAGCTTAAACTGATGCTGGAACCACATCCTTACACTGCAAGAGACAAGCAATGTCCATCAAAATTTTTTTTTGTTTTTTAAAAAAAAAGTTTTCACTAACTTGGCTGTACCAAGTCAAAGCACTGCAACTGTTTAAAAAATAATGACATCTCTCCTAGCTTGAAATTACTGTCTCCATGCAAAAGAATGCTCTTCTCTCTCAAGTTAAGAGTTGTTTTTACGTTCTAAAAATACATGAAACAGCGTAAATGCCCTGTTATGAATACAATGTGCTGATGATTCAGGTTTTTAACACTTACTCCAAAAGCCCAAATTTGGAATAGCACTTCAGAACAGTTTCTTCTGCTGTTCTTCCAAACCCTTCATTTAAAATGATCAAAACACTTGTAAGACTACGTTGTATCAGTGAAGTGCTTGAAAACTTGACTGGCAGATACAGTGCACAGTCCATGAACTTTAATTAATTACAGCAGCAGCATACATTAGTAAGGTCCAAGTACGAAAAAAATCCTAGGTCCTCTGCATGCTACAAGGAAATGATGCAACTGTTAAAGCCACACAGTAATGCCACAAACTGATGACAAGTTTAGTCTTGCCAGCACAGCTAGGTATAACCTCATTTAAAAGGCATTAGTTCTCAGAAGCTCTAAGTCTAGCATCTTGAAACTTTTTCCGCAAGCTAACAATTTTATTTAGATAAATAACATACAGCATATGGACAAGCTAACAATTTTATTATTTAGATAAATAACATACAGCATATGGTGTATTGTGAGACTATTCACAATGGAAAAGGATTTAATGTGTTACATAGACTTGAGCAGAAGTTTGGTAAAAATGTTATTTTTAAACCAAAATGTCCCTGTGAGAGGAGGTAATTGTAGTGTTTTTCTGCTAAGTGTGTCAAGTAGCAAGGAGGAGTATATTTTTGGTGTTGTAAATCCTTTAAAAGCTGGCAGATTGCCCTACCATGGTGCCTAAGCATGTATCACAAGGGAGGAGCGGTAGTCAGCTGACTTCAGGGCAGGGAGAAAACGAAACTGAGGAAAAAACAAGGCAGAACTTTAAGCACAACTGTAGTTCAGGCGGTTTAAATAAAACAAATTTGCCTATAAAGATTTAAAGGGTAATGCTGAATATTTAATGTTTTCTCTGCATAGTTTTCATCTCTGGTCTGTCGCTATTTTGATCTGTGTATCTTAATGCATGCAAAAATGTTCACATTGTCTGAGTTTTTTAAACTTAAATATTCAGAAGTTAGAAAACAAGAGTTTTATGGTAGTTCACGCAGTTTAAAATTCTTTCCCCTTCCTCATCAAACTTGTGAAAGACAAAGACCTTAAGGGTAGGGAGGGAAGAATGATAATGTAATTACAGTCTTATATAACTATCATATCATTGTAAAACTTTGCAATACAAATTACATTCTTTTAAACATCACTTTCTGCATTTAATTCAGTTCATATGTTCAGTGCATTTAAAGTCACTAAATCATTTTGTTTTACTCACTGTTAAAAGTATTAAACCCATAAATTGTATCTAATTAAATATCTTCTCATTCAAATCATCTTATTTCAATTTCCAATTATTAGTTTCCAATTATGCCTTTCTGTGCTATATATGGTACTTGATTTTTTTTTCTCTCCTCTTCCAGCTTTTTTTGCTGTTTTCATGTTTCCTCTAAATACTTTCAAGCAAATGTGCTCAGCTCTGAAGGATCTCAGTACAAAGGATGTTCTCCAGGTTCTGAATCATTTTCATGGATCTTTTCTGCAGTCTCCGATTTTTAAAATGCCAAATACAACAATATACCATTAACACGCAAACAACACAATCTACCTTTCCTCTTAACGGTTGGCTTTGACAGTTTGGGTTTTTTTAAACCACACCATCATACTAAGACAGGAACTTGTGAGGATGTATTAGCCTTGTATGACCCCACATGCTTTCCAGAAACAGTTTCCAAGATACAGTAACCCAAGAATAGATATTTAATTATTCATTTTTCTCTCCAAACAGGATGGGCTAAGCAGGAATTCTTTATTGTGAACCATTTGCTCCGTCCCAGTAATTGTAATTTACTACTTGGATTTTTGCCATATACAAACATTATCAGACAGGATTTATTTATTTATTTTCTAATCATTGACAAAAATACAGAGTACACTACAGTAGTTCCGATTCCTACAGAATTTCCTTAAGAAGATACTAGTCAGTAATAAATCTTGTTATTGAAAACTACTTTTGAGTTCTACTATTTCTTAATCCACTCAATAAATACTTCTGTATTGAATTCTGAATACTGTGGCATTTTGCTGAACATTTTACAACCAACTTTTATGCAACAACAGCATATCCAGTTATGCAAATGTGCAACGGTTTGTGCAATTCTGATTGATGAAGGCAACAGCCACCCCTAAAGTTAAATCAAAGGGTTAAACATTGTTTTGCATAGAAATAAATTAGCTAGTATTAACTACTGTACTTCGAGACATACAAACTTCCTCTTTTTTAAAAGTACTTGCAAAAGAGCATTCTTCAACAGCCATCCTTCTCGGAAAGCGCGTACAAAGCTAGAAAACTGCAGGTGGAAGTTGGCACTCCAGGGGGAGAGAGGCCATGACGGAAGATCAGGCTCTGGGGTAAACTTCCCTTGCATTCATCACAGTTTCAGCAGCAATACTAGCTATATGCACCACAGGTGGGGGATGATGTGCTCATTGCCTTGCCTTTTACCTCACAGGTTATATATTTGAAAAATAAAAATTAAAGAACTGAAATCTACCGTATCAACTGAATTTTGAATCCGTTTTTCCTTTATTTTGTCCGAGTTTGCAATTTGAATTGGCAACATACAGTTACTTGAGTCTTTCTGTTCCTTAAATTTTGGCAAAGTAACATTTTTTCCCCATCTCTTTAGCAATACCCAGTATTTCAACACTTGTTAAAAAGGAGTATCAGTATACAAAAGGTCTCCCAAGGAAAATCTAAGAATTGCTGAATTTAAACTATTTGGGCCTGATTTAAAATATTTATTGCTAACAAGAAAAGTTGAATTATTTTTCATTCTTTGAGTAAACAAGGAATGTGTTCATAGCCTTGCTGTAGGGGGGAGAAGGGAACTGCGTTGTGAGCAATAGTCTGACAGTCTCCACTTAGCATCAAACCCTATTATTAGAACATTTTATTTCTACTATATTAAAAGCTGTATTATTCTGAACTCTGGTAATTACAGATACAAAGATATGAAGACAAAAAAGGACTTCCTATATTAATTTCTGTGCCCAACTCCATTGCGTGAAGCTACTTAGCTACCTTTCAGATCACTATATACTATTGGTATTGTTTGTATGATGACACTGATGTAAGTCCTGGAGAATGTTTACTCATTTAATTCTGGCATGCTGACAACAGCAAAAATAGCAAAAGTGTGACCATACACACCTCCAGCGAACCTTAAGAAATTTTGAAGGAGAAGGATAAAAAACTTCTTTAGCTCCAAAATCTTCTCCCTTACAGGTCTTTGAGATTCATTGCAAGCAACAGAGGAGAATGTTCTCCAAAAGCAGCAGCACAAATTGTTATGTCAAAGAAAAGATACGGCAACTAAATATAGAGAACTTCTCACTATTACTGAGCAAATTAGTAAGAGGGCAATAGTACAGATCTAATTTTTTTTAAATGTATTATTTATAAAAGCAACAAATATTTCACTAAAGGTTATTCATACCTTAAGAGATCAGATAACGTCATTGGTTCTCTCAACCAGAGTAATGCCATATAACAAAATGAAAGGGTCATTGGCATCGTCATCCTCAGTTTCTCCCTTTGGTTCTTCATTAAATACAAGCTACCATCTACCGATCCAGAGCACACAGAGGTGCTTTCTTGGGTTTATGTTAAAAAAAGAAAAGAAAAAAAAGTAATTGACACGATATACACACGATCCACAATATACAGAAAACAAGATAAAGGAACATACAAGGACCCTTGTTCAGCAGCTAATAATTGAAATCATTACTTTGAGTAGTTTGTGTACTTTTCTACTAAACAGCTTAACTCTAATTTATTCATCTACCGCAATATGAGATGACAACCTGTTTCATAAACTGCTGCTTCACTTGACTAAGTCACTGAATCATATGAAGAGACAAAATTCACTCTGGTACCCATCAAAACAGACCTTTTGTTGGGAACTACACTTAAAACCTGGAGTTCTAGAAGGACATTAACTCCTATACCACATATAACTAGCAGTACTTACGAGCTGGAAATACTGTTTTCCATTTGAGAGATAAGGGAACAGTGGGGAAACAAGGGAAAATTCAATGTGCTTAAATCAATGCCTCGGAGTTGGGGATTAAAACACAGAGTTTTAAACTTCAGCACAGTCAGGACTTTAACAAGAACATGATGTACATTGCAGAAATTTTACTGAGGTTAAGGTATGTATTCATCTGCCATATAATCTCTAACTGTGGAAACGTAAGCGTTTGTTTGGTTAAACCACGACAGCGTTCTTTTAAAAAAACATATCTACATTCAGTGAAAAAGAAAACACCTTTAGAACAAAAATATAGCAAATGGTAAAAAAGGTGGGGGGAAAAAAACAACCAATAACATACAACCAAACCTCCTTACTTCCTTACTGAGATGAATCACTGAAAACTAAAAGCAGCAGCCATGAGAAATTTAATTTAGGGGAGTGATTTATGAGTTAGGAACCTTTTCAGCAGTGAAACTTGGGAGTTCGGGGAAGGAAGAAGAGAAAAAGAAAAGCCTCTCTTCCCTACATCATGACCCAGCTAGGACGAATGAAAATGTTTTGTATTTAAAGCACACCAGCACAAAATATCAGCATTAATTCTGTAGAGATTTTCTCACTCTGTTTCCCCACAGACTGTTCACCTGTTCAGACAGGAACAGCGAGGGCTGGATCCACAGCTCCCCAGCTGGGAGCTGCAGGGCCATGGCAAGCAGCCTGCAAAAAACAGTTTAAAACGTCAGAGAGCTTGGCAGTTCCATGGTTATGCTGGCAGGTGATAGCCAAGACTGTAAAGTGACAGCGATCAGCGGTAGAGGTCCAGCACCCACTGACACGCCATATGAAGACAGACACTGCAAATGGTGTGTTCCCGAGCTAGAATTGGTCTTTGATGCCACCTACCGGTTCCTAAAACGGCGGCCAGTAGCACTGGGGACACAGCAACAGGTTAAAAGAACCGGCTCAAACATACACTTTGTACAGACTAAGTAAGACAAGGTCTAGATGACAGCATCCTACGAGGTCTATCACGTATAGGTGCGTCGGAGAACAAAAGCAGGAACATCAGTTAATCCTTTTAGTCAACAGCTTCACCTTTTACACGGATACTTGTGCTTAAAGGCAGCTTCACGACCAAAGCTTCATTATTAATTTCACATTCAACTCAATTTAAAATAATCCTCATTATATTTGTGGCCTCAATGATGGCGCACAATTTACTTTTATTTCTTCCAGGTTATGCAAGGCATGACTACACACAGTTACACACATATAATAATTTAAGAGTTTAATAGGCTTCTCCAGCAGTATCTCAGTGCTATACTCGGTGGAATTTGCTATTATCCCTACACAAAAATAACAGCAAAAAAAAAATGCTTGCACATTGGACAAGCCTCTTGGGGAAAAAAAGGGTGTTGAGGTTTCCAGTCTGTAGCAATAACAGCTCAGTAAAAACGGCACAGAAAAGGAAACCTATGAATCTTCACAACCATTTACAATCGACTAGAACACATCTAGTATTACTTGTTTTAAATTTTAATATACAAAACAATTCCTGTTTGTTTGATTTCACCAAAATGTACTTTTAGTGTCATTGAACTCTTAATCCATTTCAAGTGCTTTTAGTGAAATCGGTATAACTACTTAAAGCTGAATTCAATTTCTGAAACAACAGACCAAGAACACGTTAAATTATGGCCTATCTTAAGACTATCTAGCTGTTCTAAAACTCTAAGAAATATAACTATAAAAGGCACAAATACCAAGGAAGAAAGGAGTTCCTCTAGACATCAAAAAGGAGAAGAAAATTCAATGGAATATTTTCACTAGAATTTTTTCACTCAATTATTTCCTCTTCGTATATTTGTGTAACACCCAAGATCTGCTACATGTACAAACATACAGTGACTCTCTATCTGTAAATTTTGTCATTTTAACATATAAGGATGAAAGGTACTTGCATTATTCACAAAAGTTTGTGTCATCATTTTTGCACCTTTTTCCCCCTCTGTAACACTGTTTGGATTTTTAAAAATTTCTTGATTTTTTTTAATTGCCGCAGATCAAGCTTCTCATTCCATTACCATTTCTGGACTTTATGAAATAAAGAGAAAAACATGAAAGAACAAGATTGCATTCTTCTGAGAGTAGACAGGCAATATCATAGAAGAACAGAAACGGGATATAAAGAGGACAGTACATTAACAGGGGAAAAAGAAACACTGAAACACACAAAGAAGTAAAAGGCAAGCAAAGAATAAAGCAAAAAAGAAAAAACATCGGAAGTTTAAAACGCAAGCAAAGGCTTTCAAACGTGCCTTAAAATGTATTTCCAATATCAGACATTGCAGCATTGTCTGGCATTACACTTGCCCAGTATCACCAAACACTCCAATTTACTATAACAGTTTAATTAAAATGTTTAGCATTCTGTAAATATTTTCAAGTTGATATTGTGAACAGAAAGGAGAAACTGATGGAATGCTAAAAGAAGATTTTTGATAGAAGGGGTTATAGGGAAAGTAGTAAAAAGAATGCAGAGACAAAAGATACATAAGAACCAAAAATACTGTAAGGAAAAAAAATTAGAAAGCTAAATATATCTATGGGATAGGAAAAAAAAATAATACCCACCCAAAAGAACAAACTCATGTTTTTTAACAAAGTCACAACTGACAGCTCTGCTATTAGCTAAACAAGTGCTTATTCTTTAAAGCTGCCACGTTTGTGAACATCTAGCTTTGCAGATATAATAGCAATTTTTTCCCACTCCAAACAGGAGGCATGGAGCAAACTTGCTATAAAACAGAACTTCCTCCTGCACTTCCCATTGTATTTGCAGGACCTGTTCAACTTTCATCTCTTTGGGTAGGGTTTGCCGGGGGGGGGGGGGGGGAGGGCTTCTATTTTGGGGGAAGTCTTCTATTTCTCGCAGAATACAAAATACTCTAGTGGTAAACAGGACTGAAAACTTTACACTTTCCAACCAGTTCCTCCAATTCATTGTACATTAATACACTTCATATATATTTATTTATATTAAAAAACCTATACAAAAATGGTTTCCAGATATTTCAGTTCATTGCTCCTACCTGAGACCCTGCTAGTTGATGAGGCAAAGCTGCAATCAGTCTGTAGATCCCCCTCACTCTCAGAGAGAGACAAGTGAAGAAGGCTAGGTCTCTCTGGTTCGCTGTCCACATCAGTACTGCTATCGCACACCTGTTTTTTGTAAAGAAGTCATTGTATTATGTACTGTTAGTTACTGTTTCAATCTGAAGAAAACAAATAAAGCATGATAGATGCAAGATCAACAGTAAGTGAAGTTTAAACCCAAACTGTTCACGTTTTTACTTTCTCTATGAATCACCAGGACGTAAAGAAAACCTGCAAAAAAAGTATTTTAAAAGGATCTCTCAAGATAAAAAAAATTTCTAGTGATTACATTACAATTCAATCTGCTACAATGACTAGAAAGTTGGCAATACATGGAATCAAAGCTTGATGAAGTACGTAACTTCAAGAGAGCAGGCAGGAAAGGGTGGTAGTTGATGATGCATTTTGTATTGTAATTTCTGCTCTATCTACTGACTGACTATGCCAAGACAAAGCGGTATTTTTAAACAAGCAGTTTGCCATACTCTGAGAAGTATTTGTCTCTCGAAATGGGAAAAAAAAAGAACAACAAAATGGACATGTGGAACTCTGTTTAGAAGACATCCTTCATACTGAAGTGACATTAATACAAGCTAGATATGTAGCTTGAAAAAAGGAGGTTTCTGTTGTTGCTTTTTAAAAAGATACCCAACATCTCATGGGATTTGAGCTTTTCACTTACTGATAATGCTTTGACAGTTTCCCCAGCTGGTCTGTTGCAATATGCCTGTTTGCTCTTCTGAAGATAACGCCTCCAAAAATTGCACAGAATTTCATCCTGATAAATACAAATGGACAGTGATTAGTGCAAAGTTTACAAGATCATTAACTGCTGAGAGAACAGAGTGTAATTTCTAACTCAGGAATCTGAATAATGTTCCAGCTCTAATTTTATTAACTGTGACTTATAAACTACATTTTAAAATTACCAGAGAAACTAAGTTTGTTTTCATATGCTCAATGTTTTTAAACAGGGAGTTGTTCAATTCACTTTAGAAATTACAATCTTTTTACGGAACACCCCCTGTTACACACTCACAGCATGTAGAACTCACACTGACATCTACAGACCTTCATCTGTGGACATACTCCTAATGCTTCCAAAGCTTCAGCTTGTTTCTTGAGCACAAGCTGAAAGCCTTCACAAACATACCATTCACAGCCTCCATCTAATTAAAAAAAAAAAAAAAAAAAGGGTGGTTTTTTTTTTGTTTGTACTGTTTGGGGTTTTTTTTAACCTTATGCACACTCATTTTGACTTAATGTTCTATTCTCTTGGTATCAGGACAGAGACGTGTCTCTATTAAATAATTTCAGATCCTAGCACATAGACCAGCTACGCTGAATACCCCACTAACTTCCATTTATTCACAGTCTTAATCAAGAAGGAAAACTACTGAACAAAGCACTGTTCTCCACACACTTCCCAAGAATAATATATTTCACTATAATTTATAGTGTGGCAATCGAGTGGAGAGTTGTTAAGTGACCAGATTTAAAATAACGAGAACCTGTCATTAAAAAATGAAATACGATCATTTCTTTCCCATCCCCGGCACAGAAAACTGGAACACATTACAGTAGTGAGTCAGGCAAAAAACAACCAATATCACCACGTTCTTCACCATTCTCTCCCACAGAATCATACCCATTTAAATGAAAGAAACTTTCTCAGATATTCAGAGCTTCTAGCAAATCTCAGCACAACATGAATGTCATAAGGAATGGGCCTTCTCCAATCTATTCATTATTCTCCCAGGCTGTGTTACACTTACTTTTCGCCCTTACCTGTCTATATTTACAACTCCTTTTCCACAGGCTTTTGGTCTTAGAAATTTTCTCTGCATTTCTCAACTTCCTTGTCATTCCCTCCACACCTGTTCTTCACTATTTTTCCTTCCAATCACACCTCACATCTCACCATCTTGTAAGTTATCTGCCCAAAGCTTCTGCCCTGCTTTAATGATGTTGGCTTTAACTGTTAACCACAGATATAGCTTACTCTTATAAATGCATGAAAATAAGCTGCCATAATATAATGTGACTGCACTCACAGAAGGGACTGTATGAAGCTAAGGATTTCTTTCTTAAGAAGCCTAGGGGATGGCTAATGACCTTCCTAACAGGAGAAATAAAAAGCATGAAGTGGTACACAGCTCAAACTTTAGGAGCAACACAGGATAAAGACAAGTGGAGATGTTAAGGTTGTTCCCCTTTTCACTCCTCCCTTCACTTCCCCACAATTGTTCTTTTCAAAGGAATGTAGTAATCTACTGCCACCGCAGTAGAGCGAAGATAGGTCAGCGTATCAGAGACAAAGATAAACCCATGCTTCATTTAGCATTGTAATGCATTTTTGCTTTCTGAAAGTGGCCACAACAGTAAAACATCTATCCAGCCATCACAGTATACATACGTAGCTCCAGCAGCAGCCTTACCATAACATCCTTACGGCATATATCATCATACATAACAACTACTATTCTTCTGAATCATGAAATTAGAAGTATAGAAGTGACTCTGGATGAAAGATGTAATATTCATTTAGCTATTGTAACTGCATGAAATCTCTTCCACGTAGGTTTGTGTGTAGGTTACAGGGCCAAGTACCTGTAATGCAAGCCAGACTGACATTCTAAGAGCTGGACCACCATCACATCTCACTTACGAAGACAGACAATTTTCTGGTTTTGTGATAGCCATCATAAGGAAGGAACAAAGGGATCACCACATCTGAATGCATGCCACCAGTATCTTCAGTGCGTACTGGCTTCCACAAATCAAAGTGGCAATAAGTAATGTGTAGTTCTGTTCAATGCAAAAAAACCACCACCAGGGTCACAGAGGTCACCTGTGGCTCAGGAAGTCACCAAAGGTGACCGCTTAAGGTACTGACAGCATTTGGGGGGTCTATTTTGCTTCTGTTCTTACAGACTTTCCTAGCTATCTGCTTCTGGCCACTGTCAAAGACATAATGGCCAGGTGAACCCTGGCTGAACAGACATTCTTATGCAAAATACAGAGGGAAATTCATACATACCAGTTTTTTCCTGCTTTCTTAAACCTTTGGAGATTGTCTGGATTCTTGTATTAGAAATAAAATCAGTGTTTACAACTTCTCTAGTTCTCTGCAAAACAGGAATATATCTTAGCAAGAAAAAAAGCCAGGCCTAACTTGCACAGATTGTCCTGTCATAAAACATAATGGAGGAACTTGTTCAAATTTCCTTAACTAAAGGGAGACAGAACATTCTGAACTTTTCATTCAGAAATTGCAAAAATAGAGGATTACTATCCTGGACATGCAGATGACGTGCATCAGAGTTTGCCTACATTGGTACTGTACTAAAGTGCAGCAATACCCAAGTAATACCTCTAAGGCATCTAGACAGCATGCCGGCACTACAGCAACACAGGATCTTAAAATGGCTCATGTTAAATTTTGTGATTTCAAGGAACATTAAACTGTGTCAGGTAAAGCATGAAAAAGGAAGAGTCACAATACTGCCTTCAACTCCTAATGCCAAAGAGGAAATCTAACATTTTCTTAATATAAAACCAAGAAACAATCAAAATAAACCTTTTCCAAGGCTTAGCTTTTTACCTCAGTAACATTGTGGCAAGATCTGCAATAAAATCTGCCTCCATCAGTGAGACCCCAGTTCACTTCCGAACACTGGGCACAGCGTTCATTAAAATCTCTCTAAAAGGAAAAAAAAAGTTTCACATGTGTTCAAGTAAAAAAAATGGCATTATTGCTAGGCTACTGCACAGCTTTTGAGATTATCCAGAGGACAATATTTATGCCCTTTATGTTAGCTCTGGTTGATAACAAGTAATCACAGCATTTGCTGTCAGTCATAGATAACTGTGAACAAATAATTTTAGCTGGCAAGCATCAGCTCTTGTGTATGCGAACAGCAGCACAAGGGGAATAATAATCCACATCTAGCACCCATGACATGGCTTGAAAAACACCACCCATCAGAAACGGAAGCAGAGACAAAAAGTAGAGAGCGGGAGATGAAAGTAAAAATAAATTTCTAGAACTGTGAAGAAACATAGGCAGCGGAAGAAAGCCTGCGCAAGCCGGTGAAGAGACGTGCCGGGAGAAAGGGAGATTTCCCGGAGAAACCGGAGGAGGAAAGAGGGAAAGCAACACATTTTAAAGACGTGTTTTTCAGAAGCACCCCACACGAGCGTGCTGGGGCCGGGCAGCTTCCTTCGGGCCCGGGGGGGG